AAAAAAAAGACAACATGTCCCTACATGAACAGAGGGACATTTTATAATGAAAAAGTTGCTTCATGAGGAAGCAAACATATACATACCTAATAACAAACAAATTACAAACATATACATACCTAATAACAAGGTCCCAGAATATTTGAGGCAACGACTGATAAAACTGAAGGGCGAAGTATACAACTCAGGAATAATGAGTAAAAATTTCAATATTCTACTCTCAATGATGGGTAGAACAACTAGACAGAAAATGAGCAAGGGCACACAAAACTTGAAGAACACTGTCAGCCAAGCAGACCTTGCTGTCATCTATAGAACCTCCCACAAAGCGACAGAAGAATACAGTTTTCCCATGCACACAGGTAACATTCTCCAGAATAGACCATATGCTAAATCCATAAAACAAGTTTCAATAAATTTAAAGTAACTGAAATAATACAAAGCACGTTCTTAGATCACAGTAAAATTAAATAAGAAAGCAACAACAAAAAGAAATTTGTGAAAATTGAAGAACACACTTCTAATCTAATGGCTCAAAAAAGAAATCCTAAGAGAAATTAGGATGACTGGGCACAAGGCCATCTCTAGCCCATGACACTCAACCAGGCCCCAGTGACCTGTGGCTAGAAGAAAAAAAAAAATCCCTGACACTTCCCATTGATTTTAATCAAAATACTAAATTAAATACATCAGGCTGACATCTGCTGGGAGCAGATGCTCATTAGGATGAAAGTCAAAAAGATTAGGCAGAACAGATAACTAATACCCTGCATTACCCAGGTCCCCATCCCTCAGAAGTTTTCCTTCCAGTAATTACCAGGAAGATGTCAAATGCAGGGCCTCTTATTTCACTTGTATGAGGCCTCAAGCATGCAGAAAAATATTACAGGCTGAAGAATCTTTTGGCAGATACTCCCTACTTGAACAGGACAGAGTTATTATGAGTAAAGCAGACAGACCTGGGCATGTGACATTTACTTCTCTGAGCCTCAGCTTTCTCCCCTGCAGAATGGAAAACACACCATCTACTTCAGAGGGTTGTCAGAACCATTTAAGGAAATAATGTATGGGAAACCACTTTGGGCTGTACCTGGCCCATAGTGGGCAGTCATTAACTTCATTTCCTTCTCTGTTATGGACTGCTGTTACTACACAGAGATAGAGTTGTCTTCTAAAAGGTCAGCAGAGGGAGTTCCCCAGACTTTTGCAGGTTTCCCCAAAAATATACCCATCAAAGCTGCAGTTGCAGTTTTAAATGTAGTTATATCTCTTTAAGTACAGGTTTAGGATTTGTGTTGCTGAAGAAGGGGCTTCGTGTGGGTTGATGGGTGACTGGCAGCCACCAGGAACCTACAGAATTATGGGGAAGGCAACAAGATAAGGCGGAAGAGATGAAGATTAACAGACTAGCAAAACACTTCTCTGTAGCAGCTTCTGTTTTATATTACTGCTTTCAGGCTCTTGTGGGAGGAAGTGGGCAGAATGGATCTTAATTTTCTGCAAATCCATTTTTGCTGATGATTCTGAATGGTTTTGGCTAGGGTCCATTGAAAACTCATTTGCCACTGATCATGTCTCCGAAAACTGCAGGTGTGTGGATATGCTCTGTCCCTCCAGATCTGCTACATTTCCATGCTTCACCCCTACAAACAGCCACTCGCCATACAAAGGGTTTTGCCTTATGTTTGGAGCTAAGAACCAAAAAGCATGATTAAGGTATGGCCAACCACATAGACTCTGAGCTACAGAAATGTAGGGATCTTATTCACTGATCTTATTCTGTCTTATTATGTCTGTCTTATTCTCTCTGGTAGCCCACAACACTGCCTGGCACACAGGTACGGAACAAACTCCTCTGAATGTAACTGTTCTGAGACCATCACAACCTCATTCCAATCATATATGGGAAAAGTGCCTTTCCAGGAAAACTCAGAGTGCTTTACTGCTAAAACGCTCATTTGTCTTCACTTCAAAAGCCATTATTACAGCAGCTCTATTATATGATCACAAGTAAGTTTAATAAAAAGCAAAGCATTTGTGTCCAGGAGGGCACAAAGGCTCAGGGAAAGGGTTGTTATATATTAAGATTTTCCTGAGCAAGCAGCACCAGGTCATAAAAAGCTATGTCTAGAATCCACTTAAAATGGAGGCATTAAAACAAACAGGAAAATCCCCTGAAGATCAGCCAAGTTCCCTGGGACCTCTTTCCCTCTTCGAGATTAAGGACCTACAAGAAGAATGCTACTTCGATGCTTTGCACTTAAAAATAGCTGTGGGGAGACAGGCAGACTAGGAAACTCAAGTCCCATTGCCTGGTTCAGTTCTGTCTCCTTTACTTCTAGCTCCATCACCCTGGGCAAGTTAGCCTCCCGGGCTTCAGTATCTACCCCTGTTAATTAGATAACAGCACCCATCTCACAGGATTACTGTGAGAAAGAGATGAAATAAGACAAGGAAGAGCACTTAAAACACTCTCCAGCACACAGCAAATAATCAATTAAGCTTTTGTTGTTGCTATTATTATTATTATTATTGGAGCTTTTCTCAAGAGAAGGAATAAAGAAGCACAACTGTCACAGAATCTGGAGGGACATCCAAATATCTACAAATCATGAGGGCGTTTAAGAAAGGCCCGATGGGAGGGGGGACCGGGATGGGGAATACATGTAAATCCATGGCTAACTCATTTCAATGTATGACAAAAAGCACTGCAATGTTGTAAAGTAATTAGCCTCCAACTAATAAAAATAAATGGAAAAAAAAAAAAGGCCCGATGGAAGGAGAAACACAAATGTATATTAACACACATATATATAGGGAATCTAGAAAGATGGTATGGATGAACCTATTTGCATGCAAGCAGTGGAAACGCAGACATAGTGAACAGACCAGTGGACACGGCAAGGGAAGGAGAGGATGGGACGAACTGGGAGAGCAGCGCTGAAACAGAAACTACCACACGTAAAAGAGCCAGCCAGTGGGAATTTTCCGGTTCTTTTGCGACAATGTAGAGGGAGGGGTAGGATGTGCGAGGGAGGTTCAAGGGGGAGGGGACATACGTATGCTTACGGCTGATTCCTGCTGATGTTGGCAGAAACCAGCATAATACGGTAAAGCAATTATCTTCCAATTAAAAATAAAAAAAAAAACGACCAGTAGGATAGATGCAGACTATTACACACAGGGTGGATAAACAACAAGGTCCTATTGTATAGAATGGGGAACTATATTCAATATCCTGGGATAAACCATAATAAAAATACACATATGATATACACCTATGTGTATAACTGAGTCACGCAGCTGTACTGTAGAAATTTACACAACGCTGTAAAATCAACAATAAGGAAATGAAAAAGACCAATGGACGCTTTCTAACTGCCATCTTGAGAAAATGAAAGAAATGCGCTTAAATGTGAATGGAAACCATCCACTAATCTAACTCAAGAGTGAACTTGTCCGAGAGTCTTGATGTCCTTACCCTTAGGGTACTTTGCAGCTTCTGTTAGAGGAGTTTTCTCAATAGATTTCATACGTGTAAACAGCTGCCTGCTGGAATATAACCCTTATATTCAAAACTACCCATAAGTGAAAGGGAGCCATTTGGGGTCAGACCTCTGGACATAAAGAAGGGAAGAAGAAATGGAGGTCAAGAGTTATTAGATCAAAGGAGACAAAAAACAACATAGAGTTGTTCCAAAAAAAAAAAAACCAAAAACGAAATGCCAAGGAACAGAGACTTCCCAGCATAGCAAGAGCCGCTGGTGGAGGCAGAAGTCTGAACAAAGGAGGGTGGGGGGAGCTCTGCAGTACTGCCTGGCAGCAAGTGGTCATCTGCCAGTGAGGACCTTCCACGTGCCATCAGCCACACCACACAGAAGTGCCCGGCAAGCAGAGGCACAGAGCCGCAGGGTCTGCTCACCAGTGAGGGCCACAACCCTCCTGGGTAGAGGTGGTCAGGACACCATGGGGCAGTCTACTCGTCCACCAAGCCCGGGCCTGTGAAGCCCTGGTGCTCTCTCGGCCTTGGCGCCAGCTCAAGAATACCGCTACCTAAAGGACTCCAGGTCCCACGGCCAACCCACCAGCTATCACCACAGCTCGGTCAGAAATCACCTTCCTACAGCTCCATGGCGCCACCGCCTCACACAGATCCCTCTCTACCTGGAACCACCACATGGCCCAGATTTTCCAAAACATATTGTCATTTGAATTTTTTAAATAAAGATGCTTATTAAAGATACACCAAGATGTGGCTTGATTTTTATAGTTTTTAATGCCTTCACGTACATAAATTTACAAGTTGGCAGTGGAGGTGAGTGGGGGGAGGAGGAGAGGAAAGAGAAAAACCTTTTGTCAGGAAAAAAAAAAAATGCATCTGCTTTGTCTCCTTCTCCAGAGACTGCCCAGAAGCAGCAGTACCCCCTGTGTCTCAGCCCAGTCATGTCGTACATCTTAGGCCCCAAACACTGGTCGCTGTTATTCAACCACCATATAACTGCCTCAGCTGGCTTGTCCAGCCCACTTTCTGTTCTGTGGAAATTTTTAAGCCAGCTCCTCCATGGGTCTCTTTGCTTCCTCTGAAGACTCCACAGGGCCTGGGAACTCCATGTGCTGGCAGCAGACAAGGGTCGGAGAGGTGTGCCTTCAGCTCCTAATTAAGTCACAGGATCTGGCTCATGAGTTCCTTGCCAATAAAACACGAGCAAGGAACCTTTATCGTTCCATTTAAAAAAGTAAAAAAAAAAAAGTCTATTTGCTGGATTAACAAATGGTTTAAACAAATTAAAATAAAAAAGATGTCTGAAGGAAGAGGGGATGGACAAAAAGCAGCAGCTTCCCTCAATCAGTAGCTTCCTGCTCTGAAGTAAGGCATCTGAGTATGAGACTTTCCACCAGATGCCAAGATGCCATCGTAACAATGCAGGTAAAGAAAGGGAAAGCTCTCCTTGACTCCTTCTTTTAAAATTTCAAAAGACAAAGAAACAACTCCTTCTTACCTGCCAGGACCCTGTTAACAGAAGAGTGAGTAGCCAAGCCAGGCTGTCCACGTTCATGAAAAATCCCAGCATAAGGCAAATACTCAGGCAGCAAGAAACGCCTGTAAGACGGAACCGCGTGTTAAAAGCCTACCATCTTAACACAAAGGAGATACACCATCTACCAACCCGCAATCAAAGATAAGGGCTTCACTAAGCCTAGGAATCCACAGAAACCTAGAGCAGAATGAAACTCCTAGGACACACCCCTTCACACACATCTATCTTCTTCCTGATCGTGCTTCTAAGGTTTCCCGGGGCTTTTTTTTTTTGGTGGGGGGCCCTCCTAATCTTGAACAGGATGCTCCAAATGCCACTTTTCTATGCCTTTTCATTGTGGTTAATCATCTCCTGGGAAGTTTTTAGGTGGCAGGGCTTGACTGTAGGCTCCCTAGGACATAATTCCAGATATGGACAATCCAGATCAGGAAGTAGGTTTAAAAATCACAGTCTCTTATAAAGGCTTCCTTAGAAAAGCCTCTTCTAAGAGCTGACTACCTGGTTCTTACCTTGGGACAAAGCGTCCAAGCGAAGGTGCAGACATCCGGGCGTTGCGCGGAGCTCGGTGCCGGGATCTGTCACCATTGTCCCTGGAGAAAAAGAAAAAGGCTGCACGTGAGAGAGTCACTAAAGCAGAATCAGACACCAGCCCCAAAGACAAGACATGTCCCAAACTAAAGTCCTACCCTTAGGTGAAGGCCCCGGAGAAATCAGTCATCCCGGTTGCTTACTAACTTGAGTGGCACATTCATATACTGCATTTCTGGAGAACCTTGATTAAAAAATTTATGAGCATTTACTAACATTTCAGTAAGAAGGAAGATTTTTCTTGAGTTAATGTGGTCTCTGAATTCTGCAGCATCTGAAACTGAAACCAAGTTAGGATCTTCTAAAGGGATTTAGAATGGATACATGTAAACTTTTTTTTCTAGATCGAAAGATAAGAGAAACTTTGGCTTTAGAGGATCCATGAAGGAAAGAAAATTCTCCCGAGAATTTTATTCAACAACTGATTATCTTTAAATACATCGGTTTAGGTCCTTGGTATGGAAAAATCATTGATATGTGAAAGAAAAACAACACAAGAAAAAGACTAGGCAGTCCTTTCTTTTAGAAACTGAAAAATTAACAAGGATGAAGATGATCAGACAATGCAATCTAGGTCATTTTAGTAAAAAGAAAAAATGTTTAGTGTTTTCTTTATGGTCTGTTAGAATAACAGTAATAACCACCATTATTAAATAGCCACTAAGTCCTAATACAAAGGTTATTAATTAATATGTTATCTCATTTAATCTTTCCATCAAGTATCATTAGATGTGTTTTACAGATAAGGGACTAAGGACCAGAGAGACAAATGCCCAAGGTCATACAACTAGTAAGAGGTTGAGATAAGATTCAAGGAAGATCCGTCTGACTCTAAAGCCCTGGCTCTTTTCACTACACTTCACCGCTTCCTACAAGAGAAGAGAAGACAGAGCCTTCCTGTGGCTTAGCTTCCAGTGCGTGAAAGGAACAATAAGCCAAAGGGCACTGGCTGGACAGAGTAGTTAATTAACTGCTCAACCAACTCTATAAAATAAATGAACCTCTTGAGAGTCTGATTTGGGATATTTTCTAAATTCTTCCTTTGGATTATCTTCAACTTAATGAGATAATCTTCAAACTGGCCCTGGAATCAAAGACAACACTTTGGCTTTCAAGGGCACTACTAAGAGCCTTACAAACCAGAAATGAAAGCCTAGGAAAATTTTTATATCTTGGTGGAATTGGATGCTGAGCATTTAGAGACAAATCAATATCAGGGATATTGGAAGTTGATCCATTAAAAGTCAGTACTTGGTTTTTATCTTCCCAGAAGAGACAGCATATCTCTGTTTTCTTTAACATAGCAAATTTCTTTGACTTGAAACTCTACAGGTGAAGGGAGATGCAAGGAAAGAAAGATAAGACCATATGGAAAGTGAAAAGGGGATTATAAAGAACGAGATCAGAAGTTCCTGACCAGTACACTGCAACTCTGGGGAACCCACCAAATTATTACAAGGAGTAGCTGATCATCAAACAAAAAAAGGCAGCTCCCAAATTAAGTATATTATTATTTTTCAATATGTAGATTCAAGTTGTGATCAAAGTACAAATTCAGTTAAAAAGTACAAGTGAATTCATGACAGCTCTTCATATGTTCTACTTATCAACGGGCACTAAAAGTGCAACTAATTATCATGAGAGGAGTTAGAAAATATTTTGAAGTTAAAAAGGGTTCTGAGGGGGGAAAAAGGGTCCTAGGCCTCAAAACAGTCGAAAATTAAGTTACGGAAAGCAGCATCATGGGACAAATCCAATTACTTTATTTTACAGCTATGAGAGAGAGCTGGCCTTCCCAGAATCACAATGCGGAGCTGACAATTTACTTCTGAACAAGGGCCAAAGAGCCCTCTCCCTCTGGACAATAAACAGCACTCTCTCTGGCATGAGCAGATTTGGAGAGCAGGAAACGGGAGCGGGGGCAGTGCAGGAGACAGTTGTTGTTGTTTAGTCGCTAAGTCATGTCTGACTCTTTTGCGACCTGATGGACCATAGCCTGCCAGGCTCCTCTGTCCATGGGATTTCCCAGGCACGAATACTGGAGCAGGTAGCCAGTCCCTTCTCCAAGGGAACTTCCTGACCCAGGGGTGGAACCTGCATCTCCTGCACTGGCAGGCAGATTCTTCACCACTGACCCACCGGGAAGCCCACAGGAGACAGTACTAAATGGCAGTTGCCAGAACCCAAACATGACACAGAGCTGGGTGACGGGACATAGGAAGGTAACTCAGAAAAGTGGACAAACACCACAGCTGGGAGAGAATCTGGGCTCCTGGGACATATTTCCTGTGGCTCTTTTCGTTGTTATTAAAACCTAAAAACAATTAACTTCCTTCTGATTCAATTTCTCCTTCCATTTAAAAAAAGAAGGGAGGAAGGAGGACAAAACATGGTCAGAGATAATGGCTTTATGTTACTTAGAGATTACTGGAAGGTATATACAGATGTATCTATATATAGCTATATCTTCCGGTAAACTCTGAGTAACATATCATAACAATCTCCCTTTATATATATATATATATATAGAGAGAGAGAGAGAGAGAGAGAGAGGAAAATAAGATACATATACAGGAAAATCAGCTGGCTCAGACACAAGCAGTCTCAGACTGACTGTTACATTAGGAACCACAAAAGAGGCAATATATTAAGAGACTGGAGATGTATCTAACATTTTGATTAATGATAGGGAAGTCGGAGTTAAACAGCATTTCAATAAAATGTAGAGAAGACTTCAAATCCAAATTGTTGGGCACACTAACAAAGAAGCAGAAATAACAGAACTCGCAGACTGATTTGGAAAAGTGGACCATGGTGAAGACACAAACGAGATGCTGCCTATAGGAAAAAAAAAAACCAAAGGCATATGGGAGAAAATAGCCTGTAACAGTAATAACTCAAACATTTCCTGACTGGAAAAAACTTGGAAACATAAATGAGCAAGGTGGTACAGGCCAGAATGCCCAACCAGTGGACAAGTTAAGCAAGAACAGGGCAAAAGACCTAGGTTTTCCTGCCGGCACACAAAAATCCCTGACTAAAGGCATGGCTCCAATAAGCGAGAGGTGAAAAGAGCAACTAATGACTCTAGCTGCTAGCTCTCCTATAGTCTAGAAAGGAGAGAAAATTCAAAATAAGGAGCTGAGATGGGGAACAATATTTCAGTGTAAAGGATATTTGCAAAGGCTCTTCGGAGGGGGGGACAGAAGTGAGGGGAGAGAGGAAGAGTGGTAAGAGTGTTAAGAAAGGACAAAGAAATAAAATAAAAAACTTAACACGTTCAATTTAGAAAACTACACAGACTCTGCCACTCACTTAAGTGCTAATACAAGATCAACACGGAGCAAGACTCCACGAGATGAAGGAGGCAAATTTAGGCCGAGACTGAAGGTTAGAGAATGTTTGCCGGAGGAGCAGAGGGTGAAAGGTAGACCCAGAGAGGCAGTTCACAGAGGAATGATGGAGGGTGCTACATACTGGAGACCAACATAACATAACACAAGGGCTTCCCTGGTGGCTCAGAATTCGCCTGCCCATGCAGAAGATGCGGGTTCAATCCCTGGGTCAGGAAGATCCCCTGGAGAAGGGAATGGCAACCCAGTCCAGTATTCTTGCCTACAGAATTCCATGGACAGAGGAGCCTGGTGGATGGACTAGTCCATGGGGTTGCAACACAGCTGGACATGGCCTGGCGACTAAACAAGAAGAATAAGGACAACAATGTAACATAGACCATACCCTTTTCAAGGGGGTGGGGAGGGACTTAAACAAACACAGTGAAGACCCGAGTGTGCAGACATGCTGGCACTGCTCCTCTATCGCTGGAGGACTCCTTCTCACCAGAATCCTTTTCAGGGAAACACCTGAGAAATCCTCATCAATTTCATCAGTCAGAAGCTGCCTTTAAGCCAGCGGGACAGTAGCTGGCTGAGTTATTAATGGCTTTCCCAGCTGTTGAACTCTGTGCATCTCTGATTAACTCTCAGAGGGGTATTTGGGAAGGAGAGAGGAAAAAAAAAAATCAGACTTTCTTATAAAACATTTTATAAGGAAAAAAACACCCATCAAACAATTAAGTGTCTAAGACGAGTATGCAATCTCTGGAACAAGGGAGAAACACAGCAGCTACCCTTGCTAAATGCCTGGGATTAATTGCCTCAGAGAGAGGCTGTAATTTAAAGGAACGGAAAACACACCTACAGGCTGCCGTCTGAGTCCTGACCAGACAGTCGGGCTGCCATCACTGCTCTTGACAAACAGCTCTGACTCGGGCCTTTGTCAAGGCAGCTCCAGCAGCACAGAGCTCAAAAGGCCATTGTCTTCTTGACAATACACAGTTGACTCTGCTGAAAATCACACTATTGAAAAAAAATACCTGTTTCCCTGTGCTCTCCGGTTTCTACTCAATCTCCAGACAACAGAAGGCGTACTCCATCATTCCTGCCCCTGGAGGCACAGAGATCTTGGCCAAGTCCTTTCTTTACTCGGGTGCCATTAGTGAGGCTCTGGCCTCTACTTTGAAGGACTGTGTATGTGCGCCAGGGCGCGATTTCGGGGAGGGAGACACAGGCCCAGCTGGGATTATTCACAGGGGATACCTAATAGCAGAGGTCTCTTGGAAATGCAGAGCCTTAATTCTTCTCCAAGGAATAGTAATATAACAGATAATTACCACTTACAAATTCTTCTCCTCTCTTATTCTACCTTTAATTTCATCTGCATACATTATGCAAATCCATATTCCTATTGTGCATTTTATATTAAAAAATAAATACATATCTCTAAGTGATAGTTACCCTCCTTTCCCTCTCTTCCCTCGTGGCTGTTTAATTCTTTAAACCCAGACATATTCCATTTTTCTTTCTCTTCCCCTAGCATTCTTTATAATAAATATTCATATGTATTTTACTTGCACAGAAAGAATACTAATTCTAAAGCTGCCAAGCAATATTATATATTTCTAAGCAATAGGAAAGAGCTGGAATCCTCAGGGAAGAGCTGG